ATCATGCATCAGTGGATGCATGACAAATAGATCCAAGGAGGTGATACTTCCCCTCTATGCGGCACTGGTCAAACCACAGTCGGAGTACTGCGTCCAGTTTTGGGTGCTGTACTTCAAGAAGGATGTTGATAGACTCGAGAGGGTCCAGAGGAGGGCCACTCATATGGTTAGGGGCTTACAGGATCAGCCCTATGAGGAGAAACTGAGGGACCTGGACCTCTTCAGCCTCTGCAAGAGAAGGCTCAGAGGAGATCTTGTGGCTGTCTACAAATTTATTAGGGGAATGCAGCAAGGGATCCAAGATGCTCTGTTCACCAGGGCGCCTCTTGGCGTAACAAGGAACAATGGTCACAAACTGACAGAGAGCAGATTTAGGCTAAATATCAGGAAAAACTTCTTCATGGTAAGGGTGGCCAAAATCTGGAATGGGCTTCCAAGGGAGGTGGTGCTCTTCCCCTATCTTGGGAGTCTTTAAGAGGAGGCTGGATAGGCATCTGGCTGGGGTCATCTGACCCAGCACTCTTTCCTGCCTAGGCAGGGGGTTGGACTCAATGATCTGTTGAGGTCCCTTCTGACCCTAGCATCTATGAATCTATGAAATTCCAGGTTCTTTTTTCTAAGGCAGGGTCCTTAATTCCCTGTCTCAAAGCGGGATGGGTCTTTTTTCATTTTATATCAAATCTGCACCTTTTTAGCTTCCTGCTGAGAAAACTGACCTTGAAGGACACTAAATTCAATGACAAGTGTGTCTTTTCCGGTGGTCATATAACTTCCTCTGCATAATATTTGCACTAAATACATCAGCCATTCTCATGCATGAATTGCAACCTGTACAATAATTCTCCAATATAATGCCCTTGAAAGCCTTAGAAATGTTCCCCTCTGAATATCAACTCTGGTATTTCCTCATTTCCTTTGTGTTAATCTTTATGCAAAGATAAAACAAAACAGATATTTTGTTTTACTCCAGTGGATTCACTCCAGTCTAATGCACTGAAGTGAGCACATTTAAGTAATCATCAGGAAGCTCAACTTTTAATGCCTGGGTGTTAGCTAATGGTACTTAATCATGCTTTGAACTGGGACAGAACTGTGACTGGGGCTCAGTTGCTGTGAGTGACACTGTATAAATAAAGCTTTAATGCACTGAGCAAATAACATTTCTCTGCATCTTGGCAGTGGCGAGCACGAAGGAAGCCGGCGGATGAAAACTGAATTACTGGTGCAGATGGATGGCTTGGCCCGATCTGATGATCTTGTATTTGTTTTAGCAGCTTCTAATCTGCCATGGTAAGAGATCCAGAGAGTACATTTTGAATACATTTGCATGAGCCTCTAAGCGCAGATAAAGATTTTATTTAGACTCCTGCAGAAAAAAGCCTTGATGTTTGGTTAAAGCATTTAAAGCTTAATTTGGAGCTTTTACTTTTAAATTCTACAAGTCTTGCTATCTGTGCCACATGAGAATAATCCATAATAAAGTCAGCATATGCTGATGCCACCAGCTGCTAATATTTAAAATGGAGTATTTGACTTTATAGCCAAGTTATTTACTATGTTTACGCTAAGAAGGGTTTCAGCATAGTTCTGTAAGGTGCTTACAACATCTAGTGCTCAGAAGGATACTCCATAAATAGGAAGGTTGGATTTTATTGGTATTAAAATCTGCCTTTTTAAAGTTGAAGAATAAAACTTTTGGTTTCTGTAATATAATTTAGGCCTAGAAGAATCAATGGCCTGTGATAGGAAACGAAGTACAATACATCTTCAATCAGTGTGTTTCACGCAAAATGCCCTCAGCCATTTTACAAAATTCAGAAATAATCGGAGTGGGGAAGGAGACCAAGTACTATGGAGCTGGAGTGTCCCTTCTGACAGAAACCTGGGGAAATGGTAGAGCAGCAGGGAGTGCAGCTGGGTGAATCTTGTGGAGATGATCCGTTCAGCTGAGAAAGGTCTTTGGACATGGAAGAGAAAGGATCCATGGTTGTATGAGAGAGTTATATGAGAGGCCACTTTCCCCCTGGCAGGATGATCTCGGCGAGGGGAGTTGTGACCTTCTGGGGAGAATCTACGTTTGTCTGTGTCTGTCTAATATTCTTCTACTCTGCCATTGCTTTTAGTACCATCTCCTCAAAGAACTGGTTCCATTCAACTCAGGCCAATAAAGAGGATTGATTTGGTTGCTCAAATAGAAAAAAGCGATGACGCAAGCTGTGCAGTTCTGATTCTACCTGGTACACATACATACTGGCCAGTTCAGTACAACATTCCCCTTACTAGTTAATGCCATTATAGCTTGTCCTGCAGAAATGAGAGTTTATCATTGTGGCAGAAAGCCACCTTGGTTTCTCCCCAAAATCTCTGCCCTGTGACACTGTGATAATATCTCTGTGCTGTGACCATTTGAGTAGGGGGGGCTCAGCAGAGACCACACCCTTACCTTGTCTCTTTAGGTAACTTGAGCTGGCTGCATTCCTGAGGGAGGGGGGAAACCTGCTCCCTCTGCCTGCGTGACTGGTACCTGGGTAAGGGGTTTCTACCTGGGGGGTTGGAATCTGCCCGGCAACTAGTGAGGTATTTCAAATGGGTTGGCCGACAGCCAACCGGAGCCCCCCTTACTGGCCCACCTCGTGGTGTTAGAGGTGGGATACGAATACCCTGCTGTTTTACTGAGGTGGGATCCCTGCACCCGCCTCATGTGGTGGTAGCGGTGGGATATGAATACCCTGCTGTTTTACTGAGGTGGGATCCCTGCACCCGCCACACATGGTGGTAGCGGTGGGATCCGAATACCCTGCAGTTTTACAGGCATAAATTGGGAAGAGTAATAGAGTCACTGAAATCCCTTGAGCAAATAATATCTAATTTGGCATCGGGTCGA